TTCTCCCCTCATGCTCCCTGCTATCACAACAATTGCTAGTGGTAAACCGCCACACTCCTTCACAACAGAATTCAAGATTTCTTCCAACCCTTCAACTTCTAAAACGTCACGTCCAACCTTATCAAGGAAAAGGTTTAGAGACTCCTTTGGTGGAAGAGGCCGCACTTCAACAATCTGACAACGCAAATTTTTGCATACGTTAGCTGATCTACTAGTTATAACTACTTTGCGCCCATTCTGCACAGTTGGTTCTGGGATTCCAACATCCTTGAGAGAAAACTCTTCCCATACATCATCTAAAATAAGCACAAAACTCACTTTTCGCATTATATCCATTAGTTCTGCTGCCCGCCTCATCTCTTCATCATCTCGGAGTCTTTCCTCCATAGAACGAGCAATCTGCTTTTGTAATTCAAAAACATTGAGAGGGTATGATACAACAACCCAAAGCACATTTCGAAATCTGCCCTTCGTCGCCAACTCATTGTTAATTTCCTGCATGATTCTAGTCTTCCCAACTCCACCAATCCCGCAAACCCCAATCATTCCAACCTCATCACCCATCAAGTATCCCCAAATTTCTTCTTTAGTAGAATTTTCCCCCACTAAATTCTCTGTTGGAATTATGATTCCAGCAGCTGGAGCTCTCTCAATCACAAGGCCTTCAGTGAAATTACCCCTCTCTTGAATTCTCTTCACCCCTTCAATTTTTTCACGCACGAGTATATCAAGACTGATACGATCGTAGCGTGAAACACTGTGCTCCCTTTCTTCAACATCTTGTATGTCTTCTTCCATCTTTTGGACATCTTCAAGCCAGCCCTTTACTTCTTCTTTCACCACTTGCCCCAAGCGAACCTCCGTTTCTATTCTTGAATTAATGTCAATTTTTCTCCTTTTTAGAACTCGCCATTCGCTTTTCAACTTTTTCAGATCTTCTTCAAGCTTTATGTAGTTGCCGCCAAATTTCTCAGCTTTCTCAAGAAATTTCTCCATTGATGAATTCCTAAATTGTAGTAGTAATGTCATTAAATTTATTTTTTATACGGAATAAAAAAAATAAGAAATAATTAGTTAGGATAATTTACGCACAACTTTATTGTAAACCGAAGCCATAACAATATTAAATAGTCTTAAAAAAATGTCATTCCTAAGAACGCAACAAAAATTGTTTACAAAAGATACACATTTTTTCTGTTACAATACCATGTTTAGGATTAAGATTATATATTAAGCCTCTAAATAATGGGTCTAGTTGATTTTAGTAAAACAAATGTAGAAGGTAAAGTATGGATAAATTGCAGAAGCAGATAAATGTAAGGCAAGGTATGGATCCTTTCTCTCTCTCTACATATATATATTTGATCAGCAAATTAGAAGCAAATTAATTAAGAAAAAAAATGGCAGAATCAATTAGAAGCATCTCAATCATACGCATTCTCAATTTGGGACCGAGTTCCCATTGCCTAAGATTCCTAATAAAGGGGTGAACCATAAGATTAGCTCCAACAATAGAAATGAAAATGCAAACAAGCAAAGAATTGCAATACCGTGCAAAAACCGAAAGCGGCGCAAAACAGTTTCTGGCAGTTTTTGCAAGAGGAGAAAAATTTATGGTTTGAGAAATTGACAGAAGAGGTGCCCAAATTCCTCTTTTTTTTTTTTTTTTAATTTTACCCAAATTTATTTTTAATTAGGTCTTAAAGAGATATTGTAGTGGGTATTTTTTTTTAAGTATTTAAGTGGCTCTCAA